CCCCAGCCACACTGTCTCGGTCTCCAGCTTCTTTTCCAGACAGCTACAAATCTTTAGGGGTGTCCAGCACGCCGTCTGACGCATCCAACGCACGAAATTCTCAATATTCTATCAAATCACACGCCGCTACAGCCCAGAAGACAGCCATCTGGTAATGCTGCTGCTGTTATTCACAAAAGTCTCATTTTCGGAATTAGAGATCGCTGTCTGTTTCGCATAATTAGTTTCCAGCATTCATTAGTGTTTTTGTGTGTGATGTATGGGTCTAAATGTTTCTGATGCGTAGAAGTTGTGTTACAAAGTTTTTTTTAATTTTATTCTGTATAACTTTTTAGTCACATGAATAAGTAAAAGGCTGCTGTGTAGTTGACTTCATATTACGTCACAGTCATCTTGTCGTAAACATATGACAGAGGCCTCACAGACCTGGGATAGGTTGAAATGTTGACGCAGCAAAGGTTCGGCTTGCAGGTGAGTGACGGAGAATTCAGTTCGGTTTCCAGTCCAGAGTGATCGAATCGTGTAGCGCCCAGTCATTTCTCTCTCTCTTCGGCTGATAACTTGTCAGGTCTTAAAAGGTCGAGGACCCGTGCCCTCATAGCAACTTCCCTTTTGTTTCTAATTTCGAAACGCGCAATTATTTTATTTTAAACACTGCAATATAAGAACCGTCAATATTTATTTCCAGATGTGTTTCAATTGACTTGGGAGTATTTTTCAACGCACAAACCTGTCCTGGACCATATCAGTCTGATTCACTTCACCACGATTCGTTTTTCAAATATTGCAAGTAGTCGCGTTAAATACCAAGCAACCGCCTCGGAACGTACAGAAATCCGACGAACCGTCAATCGGTGTGTCCAGGTGTGTTTCAATTGACTTGGGAGTATTTTTTCAACGCACAAACCTGTCCTGGACCATATCAGTCTGATTCACTTCACCACGATTCGTTTTTCAAATATTGCAAGTAGTCGCGTTAAATACCAAGCAACCGCCTCGGAACGTACAGAAATCCGACAGCCGATGACGTTTTTCTATTTTCCTTATGTTCGCCCTGCACCTTCATCATTCCCATGTTGAGATTTATTCTGTGTCTCAAGCCAGGTGGCTGACGTAATTGGAAACATGTCCGCCTTCAAGATGACAGTCTTCTGGGATACTCGTAGAAATTTATCGACGTTTCTGAGGTGCTTACAGCTTCCGTTGTTAGCGGGCGTAAAATCCCAGAAGACAAACATCATTCTCGCCGCTGTGGGACCCTGAAATCTCACCTTACTTCCGGCCTTCATATTCCAGTGATGAAAATTCTGTCTGCTGCAGAAACTTTTCTTTCATCTTAAATTAATTTTGGTCATTTGTTGGCTTTGATGTTAGCATTTAATTGAATTGCTTGTCGTGTTTCCTCTGATAAATATTTTTGCAACTCCATACATAAATACTCTTTGAGTGATGGCCTACGTTGCCTGACGTTTGCGCCATTCTGATAACGTCCAGCGATAAATTGCGGTTTTGTGGTTTCCACAGAGTAATCTAATCGACTCACTGTGTCCATTTAATAAATGACCAAATGTTTGAAAGTTTGATAGTATTTATAAATTGCCGACAAGAACATTAGCTTATTGTTATTATTATTATTAAGTGTTCTGTCTTACGACAGGTCCATTGCTCTGCCCAAAAAGAGCTCTCCAGTTGTCCATATTCTCGGCTTCTCGCTTTAATTCCTGGAACGTCATCTTCTTTCCTTGTTTAAGGTCGTCGGTTAGCTGTATCAGTCTTCTTCCCAGTCCTCGCTTTCCTTCAACCTGGCCTTCGATGATATCACTCAGTAATCCATTCCTTCTCATAATATGTCCCAGCCAGTTAGCTTTCCTTCGTGTAATCGCCTGCAGAATGTTTCTTTGCTCGTTGACTCTCCTCAATACTTCTTCGTTGGTCACTCGATCCGTCCACCTGATCTTCTCTATTCTTCTCCAACACCACTAGCTTATATATAGACAAAATAGTACGTAGGTTGTATGTACTAAACATGGGCGTTTGTATATTTCAGGGTTCCAAACGGACACTTCGGTCAAATGAAATGCCATTGCCCGCGAATGGGCTCTTGGATACAGAACTGGAACTCAACTTTGCTCTTCAGGTAAGTTCCTCCTTGGCTGGTGAGTCCTCTCGAACGCGAGGCAGAATTTCCTCAACAATTGCATCTCAATATTAAGGTATTGTTTATCATCATCGTTGTTATTATGCATCTGTTATATAGTAAAACATTTCTATTATATTTCTGAAACTAATGTGCGAAAGCCGGAGCACCCGCCACTGAACGTAACTGCTGCTATCCGGCACTTGCATGGAGAAGATGAATAAAATCTCGAAAACCTCAAGTAAGGATAATCGGCTGAAGATGAGTCATAATGATGCTCCGAAACGTCGGTATATCCTCGTGCATGCAAGCCCCGTAAGAATACGGCTTCATGGCTCTCTACGGCGGGATTACCAACCCCTGAAACGTGACACTAATTTAGACGCCGACGGCTTGGGACAGACGCTGACGAACACGCGTGGGGACATCTCGTGAAATTCGTTCCAACGGACCGAGAGGATGTAAATCCGCCCTCTGGAGGGTAGGAGACGCGAATGCAGGGCGTTGATTAATAAAAGATGAGCTGATAGAATGCAGGTGGATTCAGTGGCTGCACGTCGTATCAAAATTTGACTGATGTACTCCGACACACCAGACCAGGGGTTCTCTGCACTTGGCTCGCCGATGTGAGGAACGAATACGGAATTTAGTCGGAAAAATCTCAAGGGCAGATGCCATTTTGGATACCCAAGTTTAATTTTGTGTTCACTGTATGCATCTGTCCTAGTGTGTGATCCAGTGAATGGCGTTTATGAACACTACTGAATGTAATGAATCTTTGTCGTGCATAATACGAGGCTCGTCCTTAAAGTAAGTTTCCCTGGGGCCGTTTACAGAAACAAAACACAATTTCATGGAAATATTTATTGCAACAGATACAGCAAGTGTCCAGCTATTTTTCAACATATTCGCCACCGGAATTGAGACATTTGTCATACCGTAGGACCAACTTTTGAATACCTGTGTCGTAGAAGTCGCCCGCCTGGGATTGGAACCACTGTGTGACAACCATCTCCGCCTCTCTGTCATTCTCAAAACGCTGACGCTGACAGGACAGGAATTTCTTGAGGTGTAGGAAAAGATGGAAATGACTGGGAGCGAGGTCCGGGCTGTAGGGTGAATGATCAAACACCTCCCAGCTGAACTCCTGCAGGAGACTCGCTGTCCGATCCAGTGAATGGCGTTTATGAACACTACTGAATATAATGAATCTTTGTCGTGCATAATACATGGGAAATGTTGATCACCTGGACGAATATCGGCTGCTCGGGATTCAGTTTGTTAGAATACAAATGAGAATGGAGTATGATGGTGGCTGTAGTGTGGTAGACGTTTACCGACGTTTCAGAGGTACATGCCGCCGCCGGATGATGAATGATATCCCAGGTTATGGAGGCAGCAAGACCTCTGAAACGTCAATAAACGTGTACGAGACTACGTGTCGCTACAACCCAGAAGACGGACATCTTCAGGAATCGAGGAGTGCTTATAATTGTATGCTGTAGTCACAGTTTCTCCACGTACGTATGCAGTTTTGCCGCGGGCCGTATCGTGTCCATTTATTCCGGCGTCCCACAGACACCGGGATTTCAGTGACTAATCATATTGCTTTCCCCTTATTGTTACTGAAGATGAATGGCATTGCCACCATTGCATGTCCAGATCTCCGCAGGCAGTAGCTTCACTGATTTATTAGAGTCACGGGACCCCTTTCAGCCAATTTTCTGCAAAGGGCAGAGGTTATTTTACATCTTATTGATTCCGTCTCTCGTCAGACCATACGTTTGAATAATAATCCGAAATTATCTCGTATAAACAACATTGGAAAGATGTACTCTTAGGAGGACACTGATATTCCAGAGGTGTTCTTCACGCCACATCACGTAAGTAATCTATGAGTTCACCTCAGAAGTTGGCAAGTGTGCAATGTTTGCAGTATAAATGAAGCAAGTTTAATGGAAATCCGGCATTTGGTTCGAAATGTAATTACGCGATTTGTACCATACGACCATATTCCATTCTGGAACATGCGTGTTATCCCAAGATACGCGATGGTTTTATTGGCGAACTGTAAAACTCCTTACGGACCTGTGAATGCTGACCCGCTTAACAAGTGTGACAGAGAAGTTGCCGAACCGGTGCGGCGTTATGAGCGATAACTACAGCCTTTTCGTACGCGTTGGACGTTTCGTATAAACATGTTTTACTGTATGTAAGTGGAAACATTACGGTGTGTGCCTGTCTGTTTGTAATATGTGATAAGTTAATAATGTCAGGATGTTATTGTCAGTCTTTAAGAATCTGCCTGTCATAGAAAATAACATCATTAAATCCCTTGAACATACACGTGTAATAGAGTAGAATAATTTTATACTTACACAATATTATGACTGTAATGATATTAGATTTTGCGACTGTAAGCTTGTGTTTTGTAATACGTAAATTGTAAGGTATGCAGACTCGTAAGGAACACATCTGTACTCCGAATTGGAGCGTTGAGTTACTCTTTCCACCCTCGTTGCAGACATGAATGCTTCTTATAACCTGGACATCACATTCTTGCGTTTCTGTTGCGTCTTTTGTTTCAGTATCCGCACTTCCTCAAACGAGACGGCAACAAACTTCATGTAATGCTACAAAGACGGAAGAGATACAAGAACAGAACGATCCTGGGCTTCAAGACCCTGGCCGAGGGTATCATCAACATGGCTCAGGTGGGCTTTCTGAAGTAACTTCATCTTCGGTGTAGCATAGTTCTTTAGCAGATAAGGAAATAAATCCCAAGTGTTACGTGTAACCCGAAGGTCCTTTGCCGTGCTCGAAAGAGTTCTCAACAGGTTCCTATTCTAGCGGTTAGAACGCTGGCCTTGTAATCCTGGGGTCTCGGGTTCGATTCCCGGCGGTGCCCGAATTTATAACTTGTGTTGGGCAAGGCCGTGGAGTTTTCCTCCGGGGGCTTCCCCGGTTTCTCCGTGGCATCCCAACAATTACTCCATTCACACACAGAAGAAGGCAATGGCAAACCACTTCTGGATCATCTGCCAAGAACGTATATGAACAGGTCCCAGTCCGAGAAAAGGAAGGAAGGATCCTGTTCATATG